GCGCTGTGATGTCTGTCTGATAACGCTGGCCAGTGTATCGATGGACTTGATCATCATAACTTCACTGGACTCCTTCGTAACTTCTTTAGCCACGTCCTCAATTTCTCCTGCGAAGATATTCGTTGCTGCCCATGGAGCTCTGAATGGCGGTTTTGTGAACTTCTCACTCCATTTACAAGATGATAGTAGACCTTGTCTTCGTAGCAGTGTTAATCCTGCCGATGTAGACGCTAAATGTTCTGACATGAACTGTTGGTCTTTCCTTTGTGTCAGTAAGGCTGAGTAGATCATCCGATCTTCTTCAGATGTTGAGTTTGCAAACTTCGCAATTAGGGTTTCTTGATCTGGCTAAACCGAAGAAGGTACGTCTAGTGGTTGTGTCTAGTTGCGCTAGCTTCTTGTCCTCCACTTTATAAGTCCTGATGCGAGTGTCATTGATGAGTTAATAGTTTTCATCTGCTTCTGGGGCCTTCATGAACGGTTCCATGTGATGTAGTGAAAATCTCTTGGCATTAAACGGTGGAATGCTTTGACTTTGATACTTCGTTGCCTTCTTAAAGGCTGAACTGAGGTTGTCTTAGGGACGTCCAATACCGGTGCTATGTGTGGCAGCCTTAGCGTGTCAAAATCGTTAGACATCATGTACGTGTAAGCTTCATTATTCTCTTTAGATGGTGATGCAAGCTCCAGACCATTAGCCATCCAAGATTTGATCTCTGTGTCGGAGAAAATGACTCCATCATGTTCCGGTTTCGATAAGTCTCGTTCTGAAGATCTTTGCCGTTGGTCCTGATCTCTAGATGGAGATCTATGTGTAAGCCTGCGCGAAGGCACTCGCGAGTGCCTTATTGGAGATCTAGGTGATCTGTATCTGCGTGGTGACGACCATGAAGACCTTGCCGAGGATCTGTGCGATGGTGACCTGTCTCTGTAAGTTGTATGCCTTAGTGAAGGCGTATAATTTCTTCTGCTTGGTGTACGCGTAGACCTCTGGTGATTGTCTGAGTCCGAGGAAGAAGATGATCTGCGATGCCTTCACGAATGCTCCTTGTCTATAGCAGGAGTGAATGCCTTCGCAGGTGTTGTCTCGGTTGTTGTTCCCATGAGTGTCTTCAGCAGTGGTTCTTTTGCGAATGCCTTCGCGAGATTCGCCACGAGCGTTGCTGTCACCCTGGCCATTCCCTTCACGAACGTTTTCTTCACGCAGGTTGTGTCCTTCATCCCGATGAGGTGTAGACGATGTTCGTCCTCCATGCAGACTCGTCTGCTTCTCTGCAGTCTTCTCCTGAGCGAACCTACATTCCATCAGGTCCATCATCTGCTGGGTAAACTGCTGCATAAAGATGCCCGGGTTGAAGGTCTGCGCTGATAACTGCTGTTGTACAGATGCCGCCACATCTGACTGACTGACTGAGTTTAGTTTTACGCCGCTTTTAGCAATATTCCAGCAATATCACGGCGGGGGACACCAGAAATGGGCTTAACACATTGTGCCCATGTGGGGAATCGAACCCGGGTCTTCGGCGTGACGAGCCAACGCTTTAACCACTAGGCTACCCCACCGCCCCCCGCCACATCTGACAGAGCTGAGGTGTCATCTAAGGACTGCCTGTCCTCTCTGGTAGTTGCAGTCTGCGCAGATAGGCCGTCTGACTGTGTTGATATAGTTGCAGACGTCAGTGTAGAGGAAGACCTCGTCTTCTTTCTGGCCGGTACTTCGGGGATGAGGATCGGCGGCTCATCGTAGACGTCTGCTTCATCCGATGGGTTGATATCTGCGGCGACGGACCTCGACTTCTTCGCTGCCCCCACTGACGACTTCACTGTAGACTTGTCTGAAGACGGCTTAGTCTTCACAGCAGACGGCGTCCTGGTCTTCTTGGACTGCGACGAGGATTGTTGAGTTGAAGACGATCTTTTCCTAAGGCCGGAACCCTCATTTCTCTGCTCTGCAGACGTCACCGGCAGTGCACTGGAATGATGTACCTCGACAGACAACAACCCACGGTTATTAACGCCATTCACCCTGTTGAGATATGACTTGTAATTGCCGTCTCAATTTATCCTTGGCACGTCTATGAACAGAATATAAATAATTATAAAATTCAATTTGAGATAAATGCTGACAAAGATTACAGCGGAGGCTGGAAGAACATAAAGAAGTGCAGTTAGGACATAGTAAATGCAGATCAGCAGCCGACAATTGAAACCTGCAAGAAATGCAAGTCTTCATGAAATATAAACAAGTTGAGACGTTGTCAACAACGTGAAAAACGGACAAATTTAGAATAAATTTCAAACCATATTGTTGGTAAATCCTTGATAAAGCCCTTATACAGTCTAATTTAGTATAAAAGCCTAAAATTCAAAGGATATATGCCGTATAGGGGACCCAGGCGCTCTCACAACCATCCACTAGGGCGAAGGAGAGAGTGACAGGCATGGCCGATCATGTGACCACTTTCTCGCCAAAAGATGGGCAAAAGGGAGACAACTGGGGTGAGTGATTTTACGTCCTCTTTTTTGAAGGGAGCTTCAAAAGGGGATTCAAGTGTTCCACTATAGTTTGCAAGAAGAAGAAGACAAGCAATTAAGCATGAGTCAGGATAAGGAAAAATATGTTATTAACAGTTGATAACATACCACATCTGGTACAAGGCTTCTCCTCTTGTGAGACTTTGAAAGTGAAGACATCATTTCCAAGGTTCCAAAGAATACCAAGGCTTCTCTGCAAAGGAAGAGAATCTTCTAACAGATTTAAAATTTTGAGATCCTTTGACAAGTCTGTATGAGGAAATGATTGCATCAATTCAGTGCTGTTTGAAACAATCTTGTGAAGTCTCAAGTTACCATTTTCACCAAGTGATTTCTGTGTCCGTTTGAGTAGGCTAACCATATTAATGACCATATTAAAAGTACATACACTTTGTGGATCTGTAGCCCCAAAAAGTCCTGGCCACGCGTCTTTCCGTATCGAAAGTTCGAAAACAAGAAGCACGAGAAAGGTGCTTCCACTAAAAAGGTACCCCTGACAAACGGTGCAAGTGAAAACGTTCCCTGTGAAATACAGCACAGAGGTCATCGGCCCAGGTAAAGTAGGACGAGGTGATGGAGTTAGAAATGAGCTGAATGATGGAGTCAGTGGAGACGTTGGTGTCAAGTAGGGCTATCAAGGCTGTCAATGCGGTGGCGGAGAATGTGCAGGGTTTCATTAATGGGGGCGCTGGTAAACAAATCCACAACATCATAACTTACGATCTTACCAGAGTCAGTAACAGTCTTAAGTTTATGACAAAATTCAGCGGAGTCTGAAATATATGAGTTGGCAGTTTTGCCCAGTGGGGCTAACACTTTGATGAGGTGTTGGGCAGTGTTGTAGAACACTGTGTCCTATGAACATCCTAACAATCTTCACAGTAGGCCGTGCATGCAGGGCTTGTGGATGAGGGACAGAAGTTTCTGATGGAGTTGATGACTGATCTCACAGGTGTCACCTAGCTCTTTCAGGTCGGCCTTGTGTTGTCTCTGCAGTTTCAGCGTTGGGTCTTTGTTGATTTTTCGGTAGGTTGTGGTGTCGTCAAGGATTTTGCTGACCATGGTGTCAAAGTCAGTGGTGTTGAGCACCGCTGTTGCCTTGCCCTTGTCAGCAGGGACGATGGTGCTGGTCTTGTCTCTGCACGTCGGCGGTGGCTTGTTTCTCTTCTTTGGTGATGTTAGGTTGCTGTGGCTTCGACTTCTGGATGATTTCGGCAATCTGGTGATTGAGGAAGTCAACTTTGCCACCCGGGGGCCAGCTGCTGGAGCCCCTACTCGGTGTTGATGATGAAGTCGTCGTGGTTACAAATACGCCGTTTTAACCCCTCTATTAACAGGGATCAGAGCTATTACATCCCATCAGCTTACAACCACCTAATCCACAAATAATTATCCACTCAACCCACTCTGGCTTCTCATCACCTCCCAAGGTATCCTCCCATTACCCCTACATCCCATTACCCCTACAGCTTATAACAACAAAGTTCATGGTCCAATGCACTGCTAATCCCCTTCCTGTTACCTGTTACCTGTTACCTGGACAATGGACGAGCCCAAACACATGAACACAAGAACACGGTAAATGCCGTGTGTTGTTTTAACTAATTGTAGGGGTACTGGGATGTAGGGGTAATGGGATACAACCCCTCCCTAACTTGCATTCCTCACCACTGGCTTCCCACTAATAAATCCCCCCCCAACCCCATCCCACCACCTTGGCTTCTGCCTAATTAATGTACATTCGCTAATTGTCATGGTAATCCCACTCATCTCATTCATGTTATCTTAGCTCATCATCATGCTATTGTAGCGCATCATGTAACTTTCTTTCATGCTTTGATTTTCCACCCTTGTTAATGTTATCTGTTTATCATATCTTGTATATAAACTGGTGTACCCCTTCGTTCCCCCATATGCTTGAAAATGCTATAAAAATCCATACCGAAATGTCACCATTGTCAAAATAAGAAGTTGATCAACTATAAAGTCCTGTGATCCCAATATGATCTGTCATTGTTAGTCCAGTTCCCTTGTTCTGTGCAGAGTTGTGTCACTTGAGCTTCCTCTGACTCATGGATTTTACTAGTATGTTTCTTGGTATTACACAAGAATGCTCTTGCTTGTGGAGTTGACCAAAGTGAAACATGCATCCTTTCAGGCTGACATGCCATGGCAAAAAATTAAATGCGATGTATTCATCTGTTCTGTGAGACATGGTATGTTTGTTTCTTACCCTCGATAATCCACTCTATTTCGTACTGCCACCATAACGGCAATGTCATGATTTGTATTAATTTGTAAACATAGTTAATTTCAATATACATTTGTGAGTTATATCACACTGCTTTGTTGTTTTTTGGTTTTACGCAAAGTTCTTTTACAGCCTGATTCCTGGTTAACTGCTGCATTAGTCTCAGCCTGGAAATCAGCATGTAACATTACATATTCATATATTCATGTTTCAGATCGCTACTGTAACAACAGTGCACACAACTCTAAAGGATCAATTCCCACATCTGTTCCGTGGCCCTCGGACATCTGTGTATCTCCTGTTTGGCATAGCTCTACTGTGCTTTCTTGTAGGACTGGGCTTCTGTACACAGGTGGGTGTGGCCTTCTTGTATTCCTTGTACTAAGTTGTAGGACTGGGCTTCTGTACACAGGAGGGTGTGGCCTTCCTGTATTCCTTGTAGGACTGGGCTTCTGTACACAGGTGGGTGTGGCTTCTTGTACACAGGAGGGTGTGGCCTTCCTGTATTCCTGGGCTGGGCTTCTGTACAGAAGGGGTGGGCGTGGCATTTTGTACAAAAGTAGCCTTCCTGTATTCTTATTGGACTGAGTTTGGTACAGTGGTACAGTTCTATGACGCCAATGCTTGTGTTTCAGGAAGGCATGTAGTGATACAGTTCTATGATACCAATGCTTGTGTTTCAGGGCGGATGTAGCGATACAGTTCTATGATGCCAATGCTTGTGTTTCAGGGAGGGATGTAGTGGTACAGTTCTATGATGCCAATGCTTGTGTTTCAGGGAACATGTAGTGGTACAGTTCTATGATGCCAATGCTTGTGTTTCAGGGAGGGATGTAGTGGTACAGTTCTATGATGCCAATGCTTGTGTTTCAGGGAGGGATGTAGTGGTACAGTTCTATGATGCCAATCCTTGTGTTTCAGGGAGGGATGTAGTGGTACAGTTCTATGATGCCAATCCTTGTGTTTCAGGGAGGGATGTAGTGGTACAGTTCTATGATGCCAATGCTTGTGTTTCAGGGAAGGATGGAGTGATACAGTTCTATGATGCCAATGCTTGTGTTTCAGGGAACATGTAGTGGTACAGTTCTATGATGCCAATGCTTGTGTTTCAGGGAGGGATGTAGTGGTACAGTTCTATGACGCCAATGCTTGTGTTTCAGGGAGGCATGTATGTCCTACAACTGTTCGACAACTACGCTGCCACCTATTCACTGCTTTGTATTGGGTTTGTGGAGTGCATTGCCCTGGCCTGGGTGTACGGTACGTGATCAGATTCAAGTACAGTCAAGTCTTGTTAATCCGACTCCCATTTATCCGACAATCGGCTTTATCCAACACTTTTTTGGTTACAAATTGAATAAACATAATTTAGTCTCGTTAATCCGACAGTCACACATTCCGACTCCGACAGCCCCAATTACAATCGACCGCCGTAATCAATTAGGAATTAGCCCCGTTACTCCGACATTGAGATTAGCAAGGCGTATGATCAATTACCCGTGAATACACTGCCACCTGTCACCGAAGATGTTATTATATGTGAGGAGCAATGGGGATTATAAACACAAATTCTGCCATATCTGATGAACATCGTATAACTGCCGTAAAACAGGAAGTCGAGTCTATTTACGTACGTATTGTTTAGCTGTAAAACACGTGTGATCTAAAGCTGATAATCGATTATGGTTCAAGAGGTCAGTTCCCAACATTTATTACACATACTCACTTAATGTGAATCATGATTGTCCTGTTTTGTACTCAGAATTCGATAATCCGACATCCTCGTTAATCCAACATTTTGCTGTGCAATAGACGATGTCGGATTAACAAGACTTGTCTGTATTTATCTTTATTACTGGCTAGCTTTAATAAATAATTATTACTGGCAACTGTTTAATACTAAAGCTTTGTTTATAAACCACGACAATTTGTTGACAGCAAATATTGAAAATGCTCAACAGCACTAAGCTTGTGGCGATGACAGGTCAGTGAGTGGAGCTGACGTCTCCAACGTTGTCATGGGATGATGGTGACAGGTCAGTGAGTGGAGCTGACGTCTCCAACATTGTCATGGGATGATGGTTTGCGTTTGTAGCTTGCTGCAAATTTTCCCAAATTACCTACTAGGGTATTGTTTGTCTTCATAAGCTTTGTTGTGCTTAATTCTAAAGGTAGGCCTTGTATGGTATTAAATAAATACTGCATATATATTGTATCCGTACATACGCCGATACGTCCCTTATCTGGAGCCCTGAGCTTTTAATGTATGCTATTCCAAAATATGTAGAGGAAAATGGGAACCACTGAAACTCATCTTGTCCACATACTTTTAGCAGATGAAAAAGTTACAATGATATCTGCTGGTAAGTAGGCTCTTTCGCAGGTGTGATGACAAGGTGGCCATCATTAAAGGGTGCAGGGTCAGTGTCAAATACGAAGTGTGCTTTTTCAGTTGATGTCACCATTTCCTTGAAGCGTGCTTCTGCTGAGTCTGCCATGTTCATCTTGATGATGTTGTTCATCAGTGAGAACAGCACTGAGTCTGTCATAGATCTGGCAGTGACCTATGTCTGTTTGTTGCTGCAGGTGCTGAACGCTTCTTGACTGACATAGAGTCCATGCTTGGCCGCCGACCTCACATCATCTGGAGTTACAGTTGGAAGTTCATAGCCCCCATTGCCCTCTTGGTAGGTAAACAGCGTGTGTACAGTATGTGGGAGAGATGGACTACTGGGTACAGTCTGTGGGAGAGAGGAGACTACTGTGTACAGTCTGTGGGAGAGAGAGACTACTGAGTACAGTCTGTGGGAGAGAGGGACTACTGAGTACAGTCTGTGGGAGAGAGGGTCTACTGTGCACAGTCTGTGGGAGGGTGGGACTACTGTGTACAGTCTGTGGGAGAGAGGGACTACTGAGTACAGTCTGTGGGAGAGAGGGTCTACTGTGTACAGTCAGTGGGAGGGTGGGACTACTGGGTACAGTCTGTGGGAGAGAGGGACTACTGGGTACAGTCTGTGGGAGAGAGGGACTACTGGGTACAGTCTGTGGGAGAGAGGGACTACTGGGTACAGTCTGTGGGAGAGAGGGACTACTGGGTACAGTCTGTGGGAGAGAGGGGACTGGGTACAGTCTGTGGGAGAGAGGGACTACTGTGTACAGTCTGTGGGAGAGAGGGACTACTGGGTACAGTCTGTGGGAGAGAGGGACTACTGTGTACAGTCTGTGGGAGAGAGGGACTACTGTGTACAGTCTGTGGGAGAGAGGGACTACTGTGTACAGTCTGTGGGAGAGAGGGACTACTGTGTACAGTCTGTGGGAGAGAGGGACTACTGAGTACAGTCTGTGGGAGAGAGGGACTACTGGGTACAGTCTGTGGCAGAGAGGGACTACTGTGTACAGTCTGTGGGAGAGAGGGACTACTGGGTACAGTCTGTGGGAAAGAGGGGACTACTGAGTACAGTCTGTGGGAGAGAGGGACTACTGAGTAAAGTCTGTGGGAGAGGGACTACTGAGTACAGTCTGTGGGAGAGAGGGACTACTTGGGTACAGTCTGTGGGAGAGAGGGGACCTCTGTGTATAGTCTGTGGGAGAGAGGGACTACTGGTTACAGTCTGTGGGAGAGGGACTACTGAGTACAGTCTGTGAGAGAGGGACTACTGTGTATAGTCTGTGGAGAGAGGGACTACTGTGTACAGTCTGTGGGAGAGAGGGACTACTGGGTACAGTCTGTGGGAGAGAGGGACTTATGAGTACAGTCTGTGGGAGACAGGGACTACTGGGTACAGTCTGTGGGAGAGAGGGACTACTGAGTACAGTCTGTGGAAGAGAGGGACTACTGGGTACAGTCTGTGGGAGAGAGGGACTACTGAGTACAGTCTGTGGGAGAGAGGGACTACTGAGTACAGTCTGTGGGAGAGAGGGACTACTGAGTACAGTCTGTGGGAGAGAGGGACTACTGGGTACAGTCTGTGGGAGAGAGGGACTTATGAGTACAGTCTGTGGGGACAGGGACTACTGGGTACAGTCTGTGGGAAAGAGGAACTACTGAGTACAGTCTGGGGAGAGAGGGACTACTGGGTACAGTCTGTGGGAGAGAGGGGACCTCTGTGTATAGTCTGTGGGAGAGAGGGACTACTGGTTACAGTCTGTGGGAGAGGGACTACTGAGTACAGTCTGTGGGAGAGGGACTACTGTGTATAGTCTGTGGGAGAGAGGGACTACTGTGTACAGTCTGTGGGAGAGAGGGACTACTGGGTACAGTCTGTGGGAGAGAGGGACTTATGAGTACAGTCTGTGGGAGACAGGGACTACTGTGTACAGTCTGTGGGAAAGAGGAACTACTGAGGTACAGTCTGTGGGAGAGAGGGACTACTGAGTACAGTCTGTGGGAGAGAGGGACTACTGAGTACAGTCTGTGGGAGAGAGGGACTACTGAGTACAGTCTGTGGGAGAGAGGGACTACTGAGTACAGTCTGTGGGAGAGAGGGACTACTGGGTACAGTCTGTGGGAGAGAGGGACTTATGAGTACAGTCTGTGGGAGAGAGGGACTACTGGGTACAGTCTTTGGGAGAGAGGGACTACTGTGTACAGTCTGTGGGAGAGGTACTACTACTGAGTACAGTCTGTGGGAGAGGAGGGACTACTAGGGTACAGTGTGTGGGAGAGAGGACTACTGAGTACAGTCTGTGGGAGAGGGACTACTGGGTACAGTCTGTGGGAGAGAGGGACTACTGGGTACAGTCTTTGGGAGAGAGGGACTACTGTGTACAGTCTGTGGGAGAGAGGTACTACTGAGTACAGTCTGTGGGAGAGAGGGACTACTAGGGTACAGTGTGTGGGAGAGAGGGACTACTGAGTACAGTCTGTGGGAGAGATGGGACTACTGTGTATAGTCTGTGGGAGAGAGGGACTACTGTGTACAGTCTGTGGGAGAGAGGGACTACTGGTTACAGTCTGTGGGAGAGAGGGACTACTGGGCACAGTCTGTGGGAGAGAGGGACTACTGTGTACAGTCTGTGGGAGAAAGGGACTACTGTGTACAGTCTGTGGGAGAGAGGAACTATTGGGTACAGACTGTGGGAGAGAGGGACTACTGTGTACAGTCTGTGGGAGAGAGGGACTACTGTGTACAGTCTGTGGGAGAGGGGACTACTGGGTACAGTCTGTGTGAGAAAGGGACTACTGTGTACAGTCTGTGGGAGACAGGGACTACTGTGTACAGACTGTGGGAGAGAGGGACTACTGAGTACAGTCTGTGGGAGAGGGGACAACTGGGTACAGTCTGTGGGAGAGAGGGGACTACTGAGTACAGTCTGTGGGAGAGAGGGGACTACTGGGTACAGTCTGTGGGAGAGAGGGACTACTGGGTACAGTCTGTTGGAGAGAGGGACTACTGTGTACAGTCTGTGGAAGAGAGGGACTACTGAGTACAGTCTGTGGGAGAGGGACTACTGAGTACAGACTGTGGGAGAGAGGGACTACTGAGTACAGTCTGGGAGAGAGGGACTACTGGGTACAGTCTGTGGGAGAGAGGACTACTGGGTACAGTCTTTGGGAGAGAGACTACTGTGTGTACAGTCTGTGGGAGAGAGACTACTACTGAGTACAGTCTGTGGGAGAGAGGGACTACTGTGTACAGTGTGTGGGAGAGAGGGACTACTGAGTACAGTCTGTGGGAGAGAGGGGACTACTGTGTATAGTCTGTGGGAGAGAGGGGACTACTGTGTACAGTCTGTGTGAGAGAGGGACTACTGGTTACAGTCTGTGTGAGAGAGGGACTACTGGGTACAGTCTGTGGGAGAGAGGGACTACTGTGTACAGTCTGTGGGAGAAAGGGACTACTGTGTACAGTATGTGGGAGAGAGGAACTATTTGGGTACAGACTGTGGGAGAGAGGGACTCCTGGGTACAGTCTGTGGGAGAGAGGGACTACTGTGTACAGTCTGTGGGAGAGAGGGACTACTGGGTACAGTCTGTGGGAGAGAGGGACTACTGTGTACAGTCTGTGGGAGACAGGGACTACTGTGTACAGACTGTGGGAGAGAGGGACTACTGAGTACAGTCTGTGGGAGAGAGGGACTACTGGGTACAGTCTGTGGGAGAGAGGGACTACTGAGTACAGTCTGTGGGAGAGAGGGACTACTGGGTACAGTCTGTGGGAGAGAGGAACTACTGGTTACAGTCTGTGGGAGAGAGGGACTACTGTGTACAGTCTGTGGGAGACAGGGACTACTGTGTACAGTCTGTGGGAGAGAGGGACTACTGTGTACAGTCTGTGGGAGAGAGGAACTACTGGGTACAGTCTGTGGGAGAGAGGGACTACTGTGTACAGTCTGTGGGAGACATGGACTACTGTGTACAGACTGTGGGAGAGAGGGACTACTGGGTACAGTCTGTGGGAGAGAGGGACTACTGTGTACAGTCTGTGGGAGAAAGGGACTACTGTGTACAGTCTGTGGGAGAGAGGGACTACTGGGTACAGTCTGTGGGAGTTTGGGACTACTGGGTACAGTCTGTGGGAGAGAGGGACTACTGTGTACAGTCTGTGGGAGAGAGGGACTACTGGGTACAGTATGTCGGAGAGAGGGACTACTGAGTACAGTCTGTGGGAGAGAGGGACTACTGGGTACAGTCTGTGGGAGAAAGGGACTACTGAGTACAGTCTGTGGGAGAGAGGGACTACTGGGTACAGTCTGTGGGAGAGAGGGACTACTGTGTACAGTCTGTGGGAGAGAGGGACTACTGGGTACAGTATGTCGGAGAGAGGGACTACTGAGTACAGTCTGTGGGAGAGAGGGACTACTGGGTACAGTCTGTGGGAGAGAGGGACTACTGAGTACAGTCTGTGGGAGAGAGGGACTACTGGGTACAGTCTGTGGGAGAGAGGGGACTGCTGAGTACAGTCTGTGGGAGAGAGGGACTACTGGGTACAGTCTGTGGGAGAGAGGGACTACTGTGTACAGTCTGTGGGGGAGAGGGACTACTGGGTACAGTCTGTGGGAGAGAGGGACTACTGGGTACAGTCTGTCGGAGAGAGGGACTACTGGGTACAGTCTGTGGGAGAGAGGGACTACTGGGTACAGTCTGTGGGAGAGAGGGACTACTGAGTACAGTCTGTGGGAGAGAGGGACTACTGGGTACAGTCTGTCGGAGAGAGGGACTACTGGGTACAGTCTGTGGGAGAGAGGGACTACTGGGTACAGTCTGTGGGAGAGAGGGACTACTGGTTACAGTCTGTGGGGGAGAGGGACTACTGGGTACAGTCTGTGGGAGAGACGGACTACTGGTTACAGTCTGTGGGAGAGAGGAACTACTGTGTACAGTCTGTGGGAGAGAGGGACTACTGAGTACAGTCTGCGATAGAGGGACTACTGTGTACCGTCTGTGGGAGAGGGACTACTGTGTACAGTCTGTGGGAGAGAGGGACTACTGTGTACAGTCTGTGGGAAAGAGGGACTACTGGGTACAGTTTGTGTGGAATGACTTGAGGGAAGTTAGATTTTTTGTTACAGATTTACACATGGAACTATTTCAGTTGTGTTCATGAGTCTTCAGAAAAATTGACAGATGTTTTCCCATGTTATGTAGGTGATCCTGATCTTCACATGGGTCGACTTTAAACGTACCAACTACTCTGGTGAGCTGTTCCCTGTGTGGGCTGATGTTGTTGGCTGGCTCATCACATTGTCCTCCGTTCTCGCCATCCCAGTCATCGCGATCTTCAAGCTCATCCAGCATCAGCGCAATAACGACAGCACTATCATACAGGTGAGTGTTATCACTGCAACAACGACAGAACTATCATACAGGTGAGTGTTATCACTGTAACAACGACAGCACTATCATACAGGTGAGTGTTATCACTGTAACAACGACAGCACTATCATACAGGTGAGTGTTATCACTGCAACAACGACAACACTATCATACAGGTGAGTGTTATCACTGTAACAACGACAGCACTATCATACAGGTGAGTGTTATCACTGTAACAACGACAGCACTATCATACAGGTGAGTGTTATCACTGTAACAACGACAGCACTATCATACAGGTGAGTGTGATCACTGTAACAACGACAGCACTATCATACAGGTGAGTGTTATCACTGTAACAAAGACAGAGCTATCATACAGGTGAGTGTTATCACTGTAACAACAACATCACTATCATACAGGTGAGTGTTATCACTGTATGAACAACAGCACTATCATACAGGTGAGTTTTATCACTGTAACAACGGCAGCACTATCATACAGGTGAGTTTTATCACTGTAACAACGACAGCACTATCATTCAGGTGAGTGTTATCACTGTAACAACGACAGCACTATCATACAGGTGAGTGTTATCACTGTAACAACGACAGCACTATCATACAGGTGAGTTTTATCACTGTAACAACAACAGCACTATCATACAGGTGAGTGTTATCACTGTAACAACGACAGCTATCATACAGGTGAGTGTTATCACTATCAACGACAGCACTATCATACAGGTGAGTGTTGTCACTGTAACAACGACAGCACTATCATACAGGTGAGTGTTGTCACTGTAACAAGAACATCACTATCATACAGGTGAGTGTTATCACTAAAACAACAACAGCACTATCATACAGGTGAGTGTTATCACTGTAAGAACAACAGAGCTATCATACAGGTGAGTGTTATCACTGTAACAACGACAGCACTATCATACAGGTGAATGTTATCACTGTAACAACGACAGAGCTATCATACAGTTGAGTGTTATCACTGTAACAACGACAGCACTATCATACAGGTATCATACAGGTGAGTGTTATCACTGTAACAACGACAGAGCTATCATACAGCTGAGTTTTATCACTGCAACAACGACAGCACTATCATACAGGTGAGTGTTGTCACTGTAAGAACAAGAGAGCTATCATACAGGTGAGTGTTATCACTGTAACAACGACAGCACTGTCATACAGGTGAGTGTTATCACTGTAACAACGACAGCACTATCATACAAGAACGACAGAGCTGTCATACAAGTGAATGTTATCACTGTAACAACGACAGAGCTATCATACAGGTGAGTGTTATCACTGTAACAACGACAGAGCTATCATACAGGTGAGTTTTATCACTGCAACAACGACAGCACTATCATACAGGTGAGTGTTATCACTGTAACAACGACAGAGCTATCATACATGTGAGTTTTATCACTGCAACAACGACAGCACTATCATACAGGTGAGTGTTGTCACTGTAACAACGACAGAGCTATCATACAGGTGAGTTTTATCACTGTAACAACGACAGCACTATCATTCAGGTGAGTGTTATCACTGTAACAACGACAGCACTATCATACAGGTGAGTGTTATCACTGTAACAACGACAGAGCTATCATACAGGTGAATGTTATCACTGTAACAACGACAGCACTATCATACAGGTGAGTGTTATCACTGTAACAACGACAGAGCTATCATACAGGTGAGTGTTATCACTGTAACAACGACAGCACTATCATACAGGTGAGTGTTATCACTGTAAGAACGACAGAGCTATCATACAGGTGAGTGTTATCACTGTAACAACGACAGAGCTATCATACAGGTGAGTGTTATCACTGTAACAACGACAACACTATCATACAGGTGAGGGTTATCACTGTATCAACGACAGAGCTATCATACAGGTGAGTGTTATCACTGTAACAACGACAGCACTATCTTACAGGTGAGTTTGATCACTGCAACAACAACAGCACTAACATACAGGTGAGTGTTATCACTGTAACAACGACAGAGCTATCGTACAGGTAAGTGTTATCACTGTAACAACGACAGAGCTGTCATACAGGTGAGTTTTATCACTCTAACAATGACAGCTGTCATACAGGTGAGTGTTATCACTGTAACAACGACAGAGCTATCATACAGGTGAGTGTTATCACTGCAACAACGACAGCACTATCATACAGGTGAGTGTTATCACTGTAACAACGACAGCACTATCATACAAGTGGGTGTTATCACTAAAACAACAACAGCTCCATTATATAGGCAACCGTTTTATACAACCTTAGCCAGGTGGTTAAACCATTTGCTTGTCTTGCTGAAGACACATGTATGATTCACCACATCGGTGCAATGAGTTGAGTCCATTTCTGGTGTCCCCTGTCATGATATTGCTGGAATATACTGTAAACCTGTTAGTCACACCTGTTATTCCTACATTTCGCTTTCCTTGCCAGTCTGTCAAGGCCCTGATGAAGCCAACGTCTCAGTGGGGTCCGGCTCTCAAGGAACACCGTGCCCAGAGAGAAACAGTCAGTGGGAGTTTGCCAGAAACGTATGAGTCCCAGGTGCCACTGACGATGGGATCGAAAAATAGTGGACTTGCCAACATAAACGGGCAGGTAGACTCCAGCAGGTGCTGAGACCTTTACTTGCTGGAGCACCCGAAACATCCAACCACTCTCAACACATCAGTATCAAGTTATCTTTGTACCCTGTTGTAGCGTCAATAGACACCCAGTACACTCTCAGTACCTTGTAGCAGTAGACTGTTACATCCAATACACTCTCATACCTTGTATCAGTAGACCGTTACATCCAATACACTCTCAATACCTTGTAGCAGTAGACTGTTAAATCCAGTACACTCTCAATACCTTGTAGCAGTAGACTGTTACATCCCGTACACTCTCAATACCTTGTAGCAGTAGACTGTTACATCCAGTACACTCTCAATACCTTGTAGCAGTAGACTGTTAAATCCAGTACACTCTCAATACCTTGTATCAGTAGACCGTTACATCCAATACACTCTCAATACCTTGTAGCAGTAGACTGGTACATCCAGTAGCAGTACTCTCAATACCTTGTAGCAGTAGACTGTTACATCCAGTACACTCTCAATACCTTGTAACAGTAGACCGTTAAATCCAGTACACTCTCAATACCTTGTATCAGTAGACTGGTACATCCAATACACTCTCAATACCTTGTAGCAGTAGATCATTACATCCAGTACTCTCAATACCTTGTAGCAGTAGACTGTTACATCCAGTACACTCTTAATACCTTGTAGCAGTAAACCGTTACATCCAATACACTCTCAATACCTTGTAACAGTAGACCGTTAAATTCAGTACACTCTCAATACCTTGTAGCAGTAGACTGGTACATCCAATACACTCTCAATACCTTGTAGCAGTAGATCATTACATCCAGTACACTCTCAATACCTTGTATCAGTAGACCGTTACATCCAGTACACTCTCAATACCTTGTAGCAGTAGACCGTTACATCCAGTGCACTCTCAATACCTTGTAACAGTAGATCATTACATCCAATACACTCTCAATACCTTGTAACAGTAGACCGTTAAATCCAGTACACTCTCAATACCTTGTATCAGTAGACTGGTACATCCAATACACTCTCAATACCTTGTAGCAGTAGATCATTACATCCAGTACTCTCAATACCTTGTAGCAGTAGACTGTTACATCCAGTACACTCTCAATACCTTGTATCAGTAGACCGTTACATCCAGTACACTCTCAATACCTTGTAGCAGTAGACCGTTACATCCAGTGCACTCTCAATACCTTGTAGCAGTAGACCGTTACATCCAAAACAATCTCAATACCTTGTAACAGTAGACCGTTAAATCCAGTACACTCTCAATACCTTGTATCAGTAGACTGGTACATCCAATACACTCTCAATACCTTGTAGCAGTAGACCATTACATCCAATACACTCTCAATACCTTGTAACAGTAGACTGTTACATCCAGTGCACTCTCAATACCTTGTAACAGTAGATCATTACATCCAGTACACTCTCAATACCTTGTAGCAGTAGACCGTTACATCCAGTGCACTCTCAATACCTTGTAACAGTAGATCATTACATCCAGTACACTCTCAGTACCTTGTAGCAGTAGACTGGTACATCCAATACACTCTCAATACCTTGTAGCAGTAGATCATTACATCCAGTACACTCTCAATACCTTGTAACAGTAGACCGTTGCATCCAATACACTCTCAATACCTTGTAGCAGTAGACCATTACATCCAATACACTCTCAATACCTTGTAACAGTAGACCATTACATCCAGTGCACTCTCAATACCTTGTAACAGTAGATCATTACATCCAGTACACTCTCAATACCTTGTAGCAGTAGACTGGTACATCCAGTACACTCTCAATACCTTGTAGCAGTAGATCATTACATCCAGTACTCTCAATACCTTGTAACAGTAGATCATTACATCCAATACACTCTCAATACCTTGTAACAGTAGACCATTACATCCAATACACTCTCAATACCTTGTAACAGTAGACTGTTACATCCAGTGCACTCTCAATACCTTGTAGCAGTAGACTGGTACCTCCAATACACTCTCAATACCTTGTAGCAGTAGATCATTACATCCAGTACTCTCAATACCTTGTAGCAGTAGACTGTTACATCCAGTACACTCTCAATACCTTGTAGCAGTAGACTGTTACATCCAGTACACTCTCAATACCTTGTATCAGTAGATCATTACATCCAGTACACTCTCAATACCTTGTATCAGTAGACTGGTACATCCAGTACACTCTCAATACCTTGTAGCAGTAGACAGTTACATCCAGTACACTCTCAATACCTTGTAGCAGTAGATCGTTACATCCAGTACACTCTCAATACCTTGGAACAGTAGACCGTTAAATCCAGTACACTCTCAATACCTTTTATCAGTAGACCATTACATCCAATACACTCTCAGTACCTTGTAGCAGTAGACCATTACATCCAGTACACTCTCAATACCTTGTATCAGTAGACCATTACATCCAATACACTTTCAGTACCTTGTAGCAGTAGACCATTACATCCAGTACACTCTCAGTACCTTGTAACAGTAGACCATTACATCCAGTACACTTTCAGTACCTTGTAGCAGTAGACCATTACATCCAGTACACTCTCAGTACCTTGTAACAGTAGACCATTACATCCAGTACACTCTCAATAATTTGAAACAGTAGACCGTTACATCCAATACACTCTCAGTACCTTGTAGCAGTAGACTGTTACATCCAGTACACTCTCAATACCTTGTAGCAGTAGACTGTTACATCCAGTACACTCTCAATACCTTGTAGCAGTAAACCATGAAATCCAGTACACTCTCAATACCTTGTAGCAGTAGACCGTTACATCCAGTACACTCTTAATACCTTGTAGCAGTAGACTGTTACATCCAGTACGCTCTCAGTACCTTGTAGCAGTAGACCATGAAATCCAGTACACTCTCAATACCTTGTATCAGTAGACTGCTACATCCAGTACATCTCAATACCTTGTACACCGTTACATCCAGTACACTCTCAATACCTTGTAACAGTAGACCGTTACATCCAGTACACTCTTAATACCTTGTAGCAGTAGACCGTTACATCCAGTACACTCTCAATACCTTGTAGCAGTAGACCGTTACATCCAGTACACTCTCAATACTTTGAAACAGTAGACCGTTACATCCAGTACACTCTTAATACCTTGTAGCAGTAGACTGTTACATCCAGTACACTCTCAATACTTTGAAACAGTAGACCGTTACATCCAGTACACTCTTAATACCTTGTAGCAGTAGGTCATTACATCCAGTACACTCTCAATACCTTGTAACAGTAGACCGTTACATCCCGTACACTCTCAATACCTTGGAACAGTAGACCATTACATCCAGTGCACTCTCAATACCTTGTAACAGTAGACCATTACATCCAGTACACTCTCAATACCTTGTAGCAGTAGACCATTTCATCCAGTACACTCTCAATACCTTGTAGCAGTAGACCATTACATCCAGTACACTCTCAATACCTTGTAGCAGTAGACTGGTACATCCAGTACACTCTCAATACCTTTTATCAGTAGACCATTACATCCAGTACACTCTCAATACCTTGTATCAGTAGACCATTACATCCAGTACACTCTCAATACCTTGAAGGAGTGAGTGGACACTTGGCAATGCACTGCTTGAAGACATTGTCCAGTCACTTCTTCAAGCAGTGTACTGGGTATTTGACAGAATATCTGTCACCTGGATTATGGGCAAGTGTTCAATATGTTATTTTGCTTTGATTGAAAATGTTTTTCTTCAACATGATCACATACACGTCTACATGAGCTTGAGCTCTCGACGGAAAATTCTTAAAAGTATTGAAATTTTTCATAATATTGTACAGTCGGTTTTGTGTTGTACAAAGTACAACGTGGCCTTAACTGTTGATGGAAATGTTGCACAGTGTGATCAGGATGATGATCATGATGTAAGTGTATATAATTACATTGTGGTACTGTGAAAGGAAATATAATACACAATGTTGGACAATTATATTGTGTTACTGTGAAAGGAAATATAATGTACAATTTTGGACAATATATTGTGTTACTGTGAAATGAAATACAATGTTGGACAATTATGTTGTGTTACTGTGAAATGAAATACAATGTACAATGCTGAAAATTATATTGTGTTACTGTGTGAGCAATGTTTGCTCAGTGTTTTAATGACAATGTCAAGAGTAGACACAATGTTTCAGCTATGCTGCACTCTGTAAGGAATGTTTGAGCTATGCTGTTCTGTGTAACTAATATTTGTGTGATGTTGCAAAGTGTAAAGAATGTTTGCACTATGTTGCAAAGTGTAAAGAATATTGTGCTATGTATGTTTGTTCAATATAACCTCATGCGAGCAAATACAATGATGTAAAGTGTCCAAGACAGGTGTGTGACTGACAGGCTGATAATACTTCTGTCATTCCTTGGACTTCATAAGTTCTTTTTTTTTTGTTTTCTTGTAAAGAAAATGATACGTGGTCAATGCGAAACATGGAAATAGTTTTCAAATAGAAATGAACGACCATCATTGACCCAATAGTACATAAGCTGCCTGTAATGCTGTATCAGCATACTTTCACTTCACTAACCTGCTAGGTGACTCGGCCAGTCCAACCTTACCTATATCATAACCCTTATAGACAGTCAGCACTTCAAGTTGGATACAGTGTGTGAAATAGCCACTGGCCTGCTAACCCATGGCTAGTAAAACTCCAGTCAGGCCAGTAAATCTCCACAGTCACCGGCCTGACTGGCTAGTGAATTTTCATGGGTTCATTTTGTAAATATATAACTCTCTCCGACTTTTCAAGTTAATGCACTTTTAAATCATGCAAGACTATAGCCAGATAAAAATGTTCATCATATTAGGAGTTTCATGATAAAACCCATGTCATGCCGACAATATCTTATTCTAATCTATTTTTGCAATCTTTTACTTAGTTTCTACATTCAAATTTCAAGCTAGTGAATTATTTTGTGGGCTAGTAACTTTCAGGCATAGCTGGCCAAATTGGCCAGCAAAATTTGGAAACTATTTCGCACACTGTTTGGATAGTATATAGTCTCACCTAAACAGTCATGTATCTATGGAAATGTCTTGAAACATATGTTCCTTGAGTCGGTGATACATCTGACCTGATCCGGACCAAGTTTTGTGCTCACTCCCAACCAAGGCTGAGGGGTCAGCTGGCTGTTCATTCCAGGGCTGTTTTATAATCAGTACTGAAAGTGTTACTCTCAATGTTTTGAATTCCTCACCATTAAACATGTATTATTTTTTAATTGTGTACATATCAGTGGGCAATAGATGTCATCACTGAGTAGGAATTCCAGGTAAGGTTAGGGAAAGAGGGGAGCTGTATACCCCGTCATATCAAATAATATTGTTTCGTTTTATGTCTTTGTATAATTTTGCACTGATTGCATCAAACATAGACTGTTTCTGTTCTAAAGATTGATCTTAGTTCATGTAAAATTTTAGGATTTCTTTTTGGTCTTTATGCTGAAAAACATACTTGATTATCACTTTTGGTGATTAACATATAAATAAATGTAGCAATCAGAAATATGTACGTTGTCTTGGGATCACTTGGCATTTATGTCATTTTAATGAAGTATGTAGTTATGAATACTCTAATCAAATTTGAATGATTATGTGTAAAAAATTGGCTTTCATCTACAGTGGAAGTAAAATTCAGTTAAGATCAAGATAGCAGGATACAGGTGTCATGTGTTCTATACTGTTTGGAGAAGTCTGTTGGCTTTCTTAATTATTGCAACAATTGTGTAATGTGTTACTTTGAGCATGAGTAAACAATGAACATATGTCACTAAATGGTCTGCTGATAAAATTGATGTTGTACTGTGTATATATTTAGGAATTTAGACCTTGATTAGTTAAATAATTTGTCTCTACAATGTGTAAATGGTGTCATGGTCAATTCAAGGTCGGTACAAACCACAGCCTGGAACACACCACCATTCTGGCAACTGCTTACATTGGCCAGCAATGGCAAAAAGTAGGTTTTTCCCAAATGATTGACATGGAAACCAAACTTCATACAGAAATGGATGGGGCAGCAGTATGGGATCCTGGAAGGATGATGTCACCATCCTGATCATGTCAAAATTTCCCCATCCTGGTCCTGTCAGTTTCCCCTTCCTGGTCATGTCAGTTTCATCTTCCTGGTCCTGTCAGTTTCACCTTCCTGGTTCTGTCAGTTTCACCTTCCTGGTCCTGTCAGTTTCACCATCCTGGTCCTGTCAGTTTCACCTTCCTGGTCCTGTCAGTTTCACTATCCTGGTTCTGTGAGGGTTTCTCCATCCTGGTCATGCCAGTTTCACCTTCCTGGTCATGCCAGTTTCACCATCCTGGTCATGTCAGTTTCACCATCCTGGTCCTGCCAGTTTCACCTTCCTGGTCCTGTCAGTTTCACCATCCTGGTTTTGTCAGTTTCACTATCCTGGTCCTGTCAGTTTCACTATCCTGGTCCTGTCAGTTTCACTATCCTGGTCCTGTGAGGGTTTCTCCATCCTGGTCATGTCAGTTTCACCTTCCTGGTCCTACCAGTTTCACTATCCTGGTTCTGTCAGTTTCACCAACCTGGTCATGTCAGTTTCACCTTCCTGGTTCTGTCAGTTTCACCATCCTGGTCATGCCAGTTTCACTATCCTGGTTCTGTCAGTTTCACCATCCTGGTTCTGTGAGGGTTTCACCATCCTGGTTCTGTGAGGGTTTCACCATCCTGGTCATGTCAGTTTACCTTCCTGGTCCTGCCAGTTTCACTATCCTGGTTCTGTCAATTTCACCATCCTGGTCATGTCAGTTTACCTTCCTGGTCCTGCCAGTTTCACCATCCTGGTTCTGTCAGTTTCACCATCCTGGTCATGTCAGTTTCACCTTCCTGGTAATGTCAGTTTACCTCCTGGTCCTGCCAGTTTCACTATCCTGGTTCTGTCAGTTTACCTTCCTGGTCCTGCCAATTTCACTATCCTGGTTCTGTCAGTTTCATTTATCTAGTCTTGTCAGTGTTCATTGTCTGAACTGTTATTGTTTTGGCCAGCGAGGTACAGCCTGTAGAGTTACGGCCCTTGTGACAGACTATTTAAGCAGTGCATGACTCTGGTAACAAAGGTAGTGGAAGAAAACAAGTGCTTCAGAAAATTATAAAAGAAAAGATCTTAAATGTTTCTGATACTGCTAGACGATGAAGCGAGCATCTGCATGCAAGATATTATGGAGACATCATTAATGCAATAAATGAAGTTTTGTTGGATGTTAATGAATCAATGAAAATATCCAAACTGTGTAAAATTCAGTTTTTGCACTCAGTATTATTGTAAACAATATTCTTTTTCTTAGGATCTTTTGAACTAATTTTTCTTTTAACTCACTTCAGATATTTGTCATCAAAATAAAGTTTAAATGGTATTTAAAGTTTTCTTTAAAGTCAGTTGAGCCCTGTGTCACTGTTTTGTTGGATTTTAAAGTATTCTTGTATTTAATAAGGAAACAACAATATGTTATTACACACCGTAGGTAGTATATATATATAGTAGAGGGTAAACATATCAGTACATAATGGTCTGGTAAATATTGATGTGTATGACCGGAATATATCGATGTATGCATATCAGTACATACAGAACTGGTGTACATTGATGTGTATTGCTGGTATATATCAATGTATACTGCAGGGCATACATATCAGTACATACAGAACTGGTGTATATTGATGTGTATTGCTGGTATATATCAATGTATACTGCAGGGCATACATATCAGTACATACAGAGCTGGTGTATATTGATGTGTATCGCTGGTATATATCAATGTATACTGCAGGGCATACATATCAGTACATACAGAACTGGTCTACATATATATTGATGTGTATCGCTGGTATATATCAATGTATACTGCAGGGCATACATATCAGTACATACAGAACTGGTATATATTGATGTGTATTGCTGGTATATATCAATGTATACTGCAGGGCATACATATCAGTACATACAGAACTTCTGTTTTTGACTGTACATAATGACCTGTACAGAATGTTGTTTTTAATGTTGTTTCTTTCCTCATGCCCCTACATCAGGTATACAAC